GGGGCCGGTCCCGCTGCCAGGGTTCAAACCTCACCGGCCAGCCCGCTCCGAGCCCCAGATTCCCGACATGGGTTTGGAGAGGAGCTTCAATAAAGCGAGCCTTGAGGTTGCTCTGGTGCGTGTGTCCAGCTCGATCATCGCCCAGGCTTTTTTCCACAATCACGAGAGCTCACGACTTACTCCATGGAAAGATGAAATCAGATTCTCAAATGATCGCAGCATTCCCAGAGCTGAGACTTCGAGAAATGTGCTCACTGCAGGAGACGTACGGGAAAATCTCAGGAGCTCACTCCGTGTTGGCAGACTCTCCACACACTTTCTCTGGCAGGTACAAATGACTATTAAAAAAAAAACTGTTGCCAAAAATACATAATAAAATGAATGACCAGTTGGTAGGAACCTTCACTGACTTCTCTTGCCAGTGCTTTCTCTGAAGTGATAAACTAGGATGTGAAAATAAATTGTGGAGGAGGAAGAACTGAAGATGGATACTGTGCTGCTGGGCTGAGACCAGGCTCTGGGACGCAAAGAGCATGGAGGGACCTTTGGCGTGGAGCTGAAATGAGGATGCCCATAGGAAGCAAAAGTGAGCAGCACCTGCCCGCATGGCTGTCAGGCAGGAAAGCAGGGTCACAAGAGGGAAGGTGAGCTGGGAAGGAACCAGACGAGGCAGAAGACAGAAGGACAGACTGTCTGAAGGAGATGTCCTGACATCAGAGGACAGGGCGATTCTGTGTAAGGACTCTTTGCCAGTTCTGAAACACTGCATTAGGCAAACAAGTCAAAGTTTTGAAGACAAATCCTGCTGAGACCTGAAAGACCCAGCACAGAAGATTCAAATCTTTGTGGCAATAACTCCCATGAATGCCAAAATTACTTGCCAGGACACAGCAATACTAGGGGACTCCCAGTGCCCAGCTCACAGATTGTTCAGTGCTGTGGGCTGGTTTGGAGCACCATTTCGAAGCAGCTCCAGGCAGCATTTCTATTAGCAGAGTGCAGTTTCAATGCATTGAATGGTGTATTATTCACCCTTTGAAGAAAAATTGTAAGGAGAAAATTATGGAGCGAGGCAAACAGCACAGACTGTCCTTGGAGCTCTTTGTAACGATGCCCTCTTTGAAATAAATATAAAGGAGCAAATAAAACCTAATCAAAGAAACAACAAAAAAAAAAAGCCTATCTGTAAATTGTTCAAATACTTTAAAGTAAAAATAAAGACAGAAACTAACTCTCTTTAAGGCTATTGCACATTTCCATTTGGGAAGCAGCAGGGCGGGAACATACAGATATTGGCCGCTGGCACCGCAAGCTGCACCTGCCACATCCAATAGTCAAGTCTTAATTAAGTGACTGACAGGACAAAATGTGGTGTTCAGCCCCAGCAATGCAGCCTGGAAGAAAGCAAGCACCTCTCCTGGGACCCAGCACAATCCGCCAAGGCCTTGGGTGGGCAGTATCTTTCCGATAGCTGATACAACGGCAGGAAATTGTTGTCAGTGCACAACAGATGGCCATGTCATTGATCTTTCAAAACCCAGGAGCTACAGCACTTATTCTTGAGTGCTTGCTAGAACCTTAGTTACTTGTTATTTAGCAATGCACAAACGTCTTGCTGCTCTGCCACCCACTCTCCTCCCCATTAAGTGCCAGCTTGTGTTGGGCATGTATATTTATTTGTTGCTAATAATTACAATTCCACAAAGTAAGGAGCAAACAGAGAGGGACCCACGACTCTGTCAAGCCAGATGTTGTCTATTCTTATATGCCTTCCCAGGTGATGCTGTCCCTCTTTTGCCTCCTACAGTGCACAGACTCTTACAGCGAAATCATTGTCTAGTCACAATCCATAATACTGATGTTTCTTTGTCTTACTTTGGATGCAAAGAGTTAACAGCGTTTTTGTTTAAAGAATGTAAGTGATTGTTGCCAATGCTCTGAGGTGTGGAGGTGGTGAAATGAATGCATAGCAACACATACTCTGCAAACACAAATACAGCTGGTGAAAAGATTAATCAAGCAAGGGCAGGAAGTAAGAACATTTGTCACAGAAAAAAATGGCTACGTAGAGCTAAAAAACAGAGCGATGGACACACAATGGGACAGGAATAAAAGAATGGAGTAGACTGTCAGGGTTGATGAGCCTTGTTCTCCCTGCTGCAGCCTACCCCATCATACAGTCCTTTCAGAGACTGAACAAGGCTATAATAGTGACACAGTGATAATATGGGATGTGACAGTGGACTGATAAAGGTGTCTCAGTTGGGATATATGGGATTAAATCTAAACCATGCTCTAGACCTGCTTGGAAGCTCTCTTCCAGTTGACCCAACTATAAACGAGTATCTGAACTAGATGTATTTGGCTTTTCTGTTCTCAGTAAGCTATGCTGAGTGTAAGACTGGAAGGAGGCTTGTGAACTCTAAAAGCGGTTTCAATCTATCTAACTATGCTTGCATTTGGAGCCCTGCTGAGGGCTTGGCCTGCCCTGAAAACATCCAGGCAAAACTGGAACCAGTTTTCTGAATGGTGCATCCCATCATGGGCTGATGAAGGATGGGTTTAGAAATATTCTGCTTGCTCTTACCAGTCCAGGAAATTTTCCAGTGCTGGATGGGATCCTCAGTGGAGCATCCCCCCAAACATTTTTATTCTTTTAATTCCTTTCAGCTTAATAACTTGTACACAGAGTCCTTCAGTGATCTTGTGTTCGCAGAATCTTCAGTTCCTCGCCCTGCGTGGTCACGGGACCTTGGGTTTCCAGCAGTCCCTGTGCAAGTGTTGCAAGACTGCATAGCTTCTAAGATGAAGGTGCACTCCGGCCGGTGTGGCTCAGAGCATAATATATTCAGACAAGTCTAGGGACACTATTGCATAAAGTTCCCATTTCCACTCGAATAGATCATATTGCTGAGTAAAGTAAATTGGCTAGGGAGCCAATAACAAGGGGCTGCAGTAAAATTTAAAACCTATTAAAGAAATATATGGACCTGTGTACAGGTCTGTGAAAAATAACAAAGGTAATAGAAGTGAATGAAGAGGCAAAGCTAAGCTTTTATATAAAGTGCAAAAGAAAGAAGTGATATATTTTTTTGTTTAGAGAATATAAGTATTCTGAGGATAGCAAGCAAATATTTGGACAACTCACTATGAAAAGAAGTATCCAGCATTTCTGTGTGTTTAAAACACATTACTGTCACAGATCTGTTGATTTATAAAGCAGAAGTAGATAGGAAAGCAATTTAATTCTACTTTGGTTGCTTCACTAATGCACATCCATTGTGCATTAATAAAAGACACAATAAGTAAATAAATTTACAGAGAGACAAAGAAACGGTAGATGTGTGATGTGATGTACCAGAATTGTCAAGTGGAGATTAAATCCTTGCTAAAATCTCCTGCTTCCCGTGTCTGAGTGTGTGAAATCATGGTTTGGATAACTGGGGCTCCTGAGCAAGAACAAAAGAAGTCACTTCTTGGTCTTAGAGCAAAGGGTCATCTGGAGGAGCAGGGGTGGAAGAGTGGGCTGTTGACCACTTGAAAAACACGGTTGTTATAGCCCATTTTT